CCACCTCAATAAGCCTATGGGCGAGTTTATTGTCGTAATTTCTTTGAATTCATCGTCTATTTGGATTTGGTTGTATGCATCTTTTAAATCGATTTTAGTAAAATATTTCATTCCCGCAAAGGGATGCAATATATTTTCTACATTTGGAATAGGATATGAATCTGAACAAATTTTGTGATTCACACCTACCTTGTAATCACCACACACCCTAACATCACCATTAGGGGATGACCATTTACTGCCTCCTGGTTAAGCATGTTGAAGTATTCCTTCTTCTACCATTTTGTTCAGCTTCAGTACCTATTAGGCCATTCCATTTTGTCCAAGTTCATTAAAGTCACAATACCTACTAGTATCTCTTAGTCTACTGAGATATTTCCTAATAGGTTCTCCAGACTCTTGTCTTAACGTAGGTACCTCCATGAGATCGCAAAAAAAAGAGCATAGCATGATGAAAAAGACGCCAGACTTGACGAAAACAAAATTTTATCGTCTAAATGCTTGTTATTATTAAGAGGAAAGATCAAAGTTTATCTTAATTATTTTTTTTTTAAATTTTCCTTCATTTTAGAACATTCTAAATTTTGATTAAAAAAAAAACCTTGTTTCTCTTTGTATCACCGGAACTAGGGAAATAACATATACAATTTTTAGCACGTTTTTTTATTTTTTTTTTTTTTTTTGTATGACACACATTAATTGGAAAATCTTGCAAAAATAAAAATATTTGTCGGATGTTAATGAAACTTTCAGAAACTATTCACAGATGATCGAAATTATTATAAATATGTTTTTTTTATTAAAGTCATGGCAGAATTTTTTTTTTACATTTATTACCCACCCCCTAATTTTATGAAAACGCTAGAAATTCGATCGCGTCAGGTTTAGTGATTACAATAGTAAAAAGCACAATGCTTTGAGGAATGCAAATGATGTTTTTTTTTGTTTTTAATTGGACCCCACTACCTGAAAATCAGCTCTGAATTGTAACATACAAAACTCAATAAAACAAATATATTATTTAATTTCAAATGCTTTTATTTGCTTTTAGTTGTTTTTATGAATATGGACAATATTTTCTGAAAACAAAAAAATTTTCGATGAAAAATGAATTTTTAATACAATTATTTGTTATTTCTTTAATTATAATAGATTTCTACATTTAAGTTGTTAAAATATTATAAAATTAGTTAAAAGCCGCATCGGGTTTCCTAAGTGTCCTTATGAGATAGATCTTTTTTTAGCGCGTTGTAAATTGTCATTTAGACTAATCAGAAGATCCGCAGTAATTAAGAAATGTAATTTTGTGTTTATAATCGGGCTGTAATTATAAAGTACGGAAGACCAACCAGAATACAATTAAGTTGCTTTATTTGAGTTAAGCATTGTTCTCCGGTGTTAAAGCCTTTACTTTTGCGAAACACGTGTGGAGAAGTTAATTTGATTTTTCAATTTCAACTGAGAAGGGTACCTACAAGTATCATCTTATGAAATTTATATGATTTTATTTTTATATTAATCTCAGATATGACATTTTTCCATACATGAAATATCAAAATTTAATAATAAAATGAATGGAAATACACAGTAATACACAGTAAAATGTAATAAATGTACATAAAATTATAGTATTTTATGTACACTCTGATAAAATTTCATAAGAAAGGTATCTATAAATTAATTAGATACCTTTCTTATGAAATTTAATCTCACTCTTAATAGTCTTATTTTAATTTCTTTTTATATTTTCCATAAAAGCATCGTAAACGTAAAGGTGAAAGCTAAGTAAAAAAAAAAAAAAAAAAATTAGAGCGCTGAAAGTTTTCTTAAAAATAACGAGGTAAAAATTTGTTAACTTAAAGGTAAATAATTTTACTTTTCTCCTTCCGTAGAACAAATTATCCTCACGGAATCTATCAATATGTCATTCATCACCTGTCAAGTGACGCGAAAGTTTATGACCTGCTTTGTTTTATTTACAAATTACATCTTTTCGGCGAAGAAGCTAAGTTAAGCTTGGTTCAAAATATTTTAAATAAACATTATAATTTTTGATTTTCTTAAAATAAGTTTTGAAAAAATGATAATTGATATTTAAAAGAATTTCAAAGGGAGATTTTCAGTTTTTTTTTTATAAAATGGTTGCCATCTGTCAATTTTGCTGACTCAAAAAAACAAGATTTTTAACGAAAATTTCAGACGTGCTAGGAACGATTAAAAAATGTAAAAAAATAACCCCAAAATACTTTGATCTTTCTTCTTAATAATAACAAACATTTAGACGATAAAATCTTGTTTTCATCTAGTTTGGCATTATGCTATGCTCTTTTTTTAGCGATCTCGTGGAGGTACCTATCTGAACGCTAGAAATTTGGTCCTTTCAGCAATGACCAATCTTTTTTTGGTTGGATAGTCTTTAAAATTATGTCCTTAATGTCTTCAAAGTTTAAAGTTTGAATTTCCTCTGGGTAAGTCATTAAGGACACTTGCTTAATGGCTTTACATCCCGCGTTGGCCATAAATAAATCCGTGATTTGTTTCTGATTTTGTTTATCCGCTAATTCCTTCATTCTGGCCATTGTCTCAAAACACCGTAACCAGATAATAACCATTTCTGGGTTTTCCAAATCCAACATAATTTCGTTCGGTGATGCCATTTTGTTATAAAGTTGATATACGCATAATTGTAGTAGTCGTCACAAGTGATCTTCTCGAGTTCAGCCTATATATAGTGGTATGGTTATGCTAATTAGTATTAGCCTAACCAATTCTACTACAGGTCCAAAATTTTTTCCACATTTTCTAGTGTTTTGTTTACATAAAGACATATTGGCTGGTGGTTTCATAGAAAGAATACTTTTCAGGAATCATCAAATCATTATCAAAACTTGGTTAAGTGAGGAGTTAGCCATGTGCTTTCTGGAAAAAAGGAAACTCTTAGAGAGCCAAAATTAAGTGTCAAGTCATACCAATACATCAATTATGATAAACCAGCAGGTTGAGTTTAATATATACAAATAAGTAATGCACTTTAATTAATTCTGTAGGGTATGGCAGAAAAGAGAACTGTGCATGATGTAGGCAAAACAGAGACAGGGGAAGATTGGATCATAGTAGCAGCATGAATGGGCAGATCACAAAATTACCATCTTAATCAGAAAGGAGGGCAAATGAGCCAACATATACAACTGTTATTTTATGATCATCATAATTATAAATGAGTACTTGAGAATCTAAATGGCTTGTGCAAGGTCGATCTACTTTTCAAAAGCTGTTTTACAAAAGGTACTCATTACTGCATTACAAAAGGTACAGCTGGCAAATTGTTGCAGTTAAAGTCTTTATATTTAGTTTAAATATGTTGTTCAAATTCACATTGGCATTGGTAAATAGATTAAATATACAAAAACGATGTTCTCTTTTGCCAAAATTACAACCAATAGAAAAACATTAATGGTTCCTATATACATTGTCAGTAATGGTATGACAGTGGCCATTTATTTCAAACCACTGATAATCAATTTCTCCCAAATGCATTTCTATAGTAAAATCACTGGCATGGTATATATAAAATAATATTACATTATAGATAAATAACTAAATTCTGTAAGTATTACTTGCATCAATTTCTGACTCCTGAAAATACCATTTTACTTGATTTTCAATGCATTTCCATCATAAAAATCATTAGCAATATATTTAGCTTATGCATATAATTCTGTCAGTAACAATTAAATTGTGACCACTGAAAATATGTTTCTTCTTGATTTTCGATGAATTTCTATAAAAATCATGAGCAATGTATTTACATTAAATGTATTATATACCAATTCATAATTTAGTAATAAAATCATCAAGTTCTACAATCAAACATTAATATGACTCATTGTGATCTTCATTTGTTCATTGTTGCTGTGAAGAACCTTTCACTTCTTACACTAAGAGTGAGATTTTACAAGTTCTTCTGCCAAAGAGGCAATGTGTACAATTTTTAACCTCTGGAGTTAATATTTTGCATATTTTATAGTAAAACATTGATAATTAAATGATCAAATGTTTTTTGTTCCATTGTTAAATGTACAATAGAAATTTATATCTGCTTAATTCCTGTGTTTAATTTTATAATTTGCTGTCATTATATTTCTAATGATTAGAATAAAAGATTTAATAGTCAATAAATCCTACTTGTGAAAAGTTGCATAAACAGGTATTTAATGAGTAAACAATATTAACAAAACCAACCATGTCATTTGTTTTTAATGAATGTTAATTATTTCTGATCCTTTTTCAGTTATCATTACATCTTATTGACAATGTTTTTTAAGAGAGTAGCTGTACTAAAGCTGATAATCATTTTTGTTTATAAATAAAATGTGTTTGAAAATGAAGAACATTTCTAATTTATTATGTGTCAATTTAAACAATCTTTAAGATATTTTTTGACAAGTAACAAAATATAACACAACATAAAATCTATAGGTATTATGGATTGGAGACTGTGAAAGCTCAAGGTGTATGGTGGAAGGCATGAAGGGGTGAGTTGTGATCTAGAAAATGCTTTGGCAAAATACGTTATTATCTAGTTAATACTAGATATTTGGGGAGTGATTCTGTTGTCCCAATTCGATTTTATGAGAAATGCCATGGAAATTAGTGTTAGAATTGTGCTTTATCATGATTCCTGAAAAACAAAAAGCAAACTTTTTCCACTGACATGATGAAAGCATTCACTAAAATATATCAGTAGAGACCACTAGCAGCTTTTGTTGAACTGCAAAGTAAAATAATCTAGATTATTGTAAAATATAGTCATGGTGATGCTGTGCCATCTACCATCGGGTGTATAATATGCAAGCTAGTCTTAAATTCTAAAACAAGAACTGAAAAAAGCAGCAACCCTCCACCTACCATTGTTGGAATGACAAGGCTGAACAAAATTTTTTTTCTTTTTCTTTTATTTACATTTGATTTATCAATCTGCTGGTATTTCTCGCTCCCACGTCCACAACTGAACTGAGTTGTCATAAAAAGAACAGGAAATTATTGTTCGAACATCTTGCTTTCCAGCCTCATCTTGATGATAACCAGCTGGAACAAAACTGCTATGGTGCCAATCAACTCCATAAGCTAGGGATTCATGCTTGTCATAATGAGCTACAATTTCAAGATTGGAATCTGTAAGACAAAAAAAAAAAAATGAAATCTCTCAAATGAAAACAAAACCTGTATATCCAGATTGTACAGTTATTATATATATGTATATGTGTGTGTGAGGTCGTTCTTTAAAAGGACTTCTTCAAACTAAATAATATTTTTAATAGGATCATATATATGTCGGTAGAGAAAACAAAATGCAAACATCCTAATAATATCATACATTAAGGGAAATGCTGAAAATGTAAAGATGTTTAACTTTAAATTCAAATTTTTAATTTCTAGCATCTGATGTTTCTAGCTGACCTCATTCAGCTTCCTACTACTTATTTTTTTATCACTGTTCTTTTAAATATCACACATTGGAATAGTCGTAGTTTTGTTAAGAAAGATGACAAGCTGTACAAACTTGAACATATGCTTACTGTAGAAATTAGTGCATTTTCAATATATTTTTGCCTTAACAAATTGCTTTTTCCATTAATTAAAACTGCATTCTTTAAGTTGAAATTATAGACCAGATTTAATATGATGAATGACTAATACTTTGAGTCTGCTGATGCATACAAGATCTTTGTGTACATATATTCTTTGATTTAAATGTCTAGATATACTTTTTTAATCACATCATTCTATGCAAAGCAGTGAAGCCACTAAGACACAAAGAGGTTAGTGAGTATGGAAGAATAAGAAAAAAAGAGAAACATTATTAAGGAGCAAGAATAGAAGAGTAATCAAGAAAACGGTAGATAACAATCAACCTTGCATTTAAATTTTTGAAGATCAAAGTGGGCAGGAAAGCATGGAAATGGAAGAGAGTTCCACAAGCAGGAAGTGTGAGAAAAAAAACTGTTAGCATAAAAATTAAGGCTACATCAAGTCAATTCAACTGTAAATTGATAAGGCCTTTCTGCCAATCTAGTATTGCACTTAAATTCATAAAGTCTAGGTATCATAGCAAAGAGTTCATCCAAAGATTTATCATGAAAGTATTTATAGAAAAGGCACAGGGAAGCTATATTACATTAGGACCAATAATATTGCTGATTCTTCAAAGCATGAACTAATGGTAGTTTTATAAATATGTAATATAGATTCAGGAAAGAAAAAATGTCTAATAAACCAACTTTCATAGCAACAGACCTAACAATGGATTCAATATAATCTTTCCACTTCATGTCAACCAAGAATGAAAGCACGAGAAGATGAATCAAGCCACTTTCATAGAAGTTAGTATTGGCCATGCTGATGGGAAGCAAGAAGTGGTCTTTCAGGTGATTGATAGAGTGAAGTTTTGTTTTGGAGGCATAAAATTAACAAGCTATTCCTTGTCCCGATTAACAACAGACTGTAGTACATTTTTGAGATCAGCTGCCAATTTGATCTTATCAAACTGATCAAAACTTACTATTGAGACTAGAGTAAATGGTTGTGTCCTCAGTATAAATATCAAGTTGAGAAGTGATGTCCTCAAGAAGGTCATTGATGAAAATTAAGAACAAAGTAGGTCCAAAAATAGAGCCCTGGGAAAACACCTGCATTAATACAAAAAGATCTAGAAGAGTGGCCATTCAGGACAAATTTCATTTTGTAATTTGATAAGAAAGACTGAATCAGTTCAAAAGTTTATCTAGAAATACCATAGCCTTTCAACTTGTGAATAAAACCAGTATACCAGATCATGTCAAACACTTTTGAGATGTCCAAAGCAACAAACCAATTTTCACTAGTCATATCTAAAGCTTAATATACATATTTCACTTACATTAGACTTTGGTCCTAAAATGTTCATTTGCAATTATTTTTATACAAAACCAGGCTCTATGAGACAAATCTGATTGGGATTAGATATGTTCACTTCAGCACTATTGAATTTCCTTGCAATTAGATGTCTTCACATTAATTTAGTCAACAGTAAATTATAATGATGAATGAAGATAGGTGCAGTTTAGTCAGAGATTCTTCACTGTTACCATGGAACTTAATACTATAAATTAAAACAATAAAGATAAAAATAATAGTCCAAATCTACATGATATAAAGGGCTGCTGAAAAGTCCTCAGAGAAACCCACTTCTCAAAATCTGATCAAATGATAAAACACCAGAATTTTTTTGGAAAAGTTTCTTTCTTGGTCAGATCAAGAACTTTTCATCACCTCTTGATATAATAATGGCAATATGTGTTTCAAAACTTCAAACATCTGTAAGGAAGACTGAAAATGTACCTACAAAATCTTAAGATATGCATTTGTATTATTCAACAAATAAGGACAATATATTTCACTTCAAAGATGGAATTTATTCACCTCCTGTATGTTGGAGTCCAGAGTCGACAATATGGAATCCATTATGCATAGATGCTGTGAGGATGTAGTGACCTACAAGAGGTTCCCATTTGACTCGCCAGATGCCACCTCCAAGCCCAATGTCTTTTAGAGAAGTTTTCATATTGCGATTGTCCCAAAGCATCAATTGCTCATCATAACTACAAACAAGAAAAAAAGCAAGAAGTAATTGTTAAAAAATAAGTATTTTATGACAAATGTCTTGGTTGGAGGAAAATTATTATTTTTAAAATTTTAATGTCACCATGGAGGGAATGAAGCTGACAGCAAAATATGAAGAAAGATTAACAAATGAAAATTGTCATTAGACATATTTTGAATTAACAAAAATCAATCACTTGTTATCAATGAAAAAGGTCTATGGATCATATTGATATTATCTTTTTCTTTACGAAAATACAGCATTTTCACCATGTAAACTAGAAACAAATAAATCTCTCAAATGGGGAAATGGATAAATAAAATACATTTCAAAGAAATACAAGGAAAACACTTTTCATGCAGTAACAATAACATATGAAACAAATTCAAAATGATAAAGGAGATACAAGGAGAATTTTTCAGGCTTAATAGTAGGGAACATATAATTACCATATTGCCTCTATGTCCAAGGACACATTGTGGTTTCATTACACCTGAGGGGTCACATGGTAGGAGATTCAGAATTTATAGCTAAATAAATGTATGTATATATGTGATAAATGTATATTTTATATTTTTAAGGAACATTAAAAATGATTCCCATAAATTTAATCCTAATACTACTGCTTCTACTAAGTAACAAAGTCTCTAAATCTGGGAATGCATATTCCAGTCTCTTTGGTAACTGTCATAATAATGAAGAGTTCATCCATCCAGAGTGTTTGTATAAAAAGAAATATAATAATACAGAGTCAATCCAGTAATAAAAAATTAAATTAATAATAAAAAATGTATCAACTCATAGAGTTGGGACAAAAATAATACACTATGTTAGAATTTATACAAATAGGATAAAAGCATTCATAAAACAACCAAGATGAGGATATTAGTCTAAAATATAGAACACTATTTTTTGTATCTTTTTATTTATTTATATATGAGATTGTGCTGAAAAGTTCTTGGCCCAAACCAATCAAGGGACACAACAACAAAGTTTTGGGGGAAAAGCTTCATGGTGAGGCTGAGAACTTTTCAGCATATAAGTAAACAAAACATTTTTTCTTGAAATTCTATTATGGCTATTCATTTGGCAGAGAAAACTGTAGAAAGTGACTGGTTAATATTCGAGTCATCTTAAATTGTTTATAAAATGCAATCTCATGAAGGCTTGAAAATGACTTACCTGCCTGTGGCCAAGAGATGATCAAAATTTACATTACTCTGAATGCTGCAAACACCCATTGTGTGTCTGTTTTAAAAAAAGATATTCATATATACATATATATATATATATATATATATATATACGAATATTAACAATAAGAATTGTACTCTATTTTTTTCATCTTACCTGGATATATATATATATATATATATATATATATATATATATATATATATATATACATATACATATAGATAAACCTAGTGAGCCAGACAAACCTACCTAGGTTTCACCTAAATGGATCGTCAGGGAAAGCCAGCTAAAGAGGCAAAGGGACGACGGTTTAATTATAGTGGATAAGAGTAACCCTCAAAAATGTGACACTATCCGTAAAAAACTACACTGGTTTTTTAGAAAATTTGGATTTAATCTCGAAATAGAAACTAATTTGAAAATTACTAACTATTTAGACATTACGTTGAATTTACAAAAAGGTACTATATCCCCCGTATAAAAAAGAGAACCAGGAACCCCAATATTTAAACGTAAAATCTAATCACCCAGCCCATATCATAAGGCATATTCCAAAAAACATTAGTTATAGACTTTCAACTAATTCCTCCAATAGAGGCATTTTTGAGGCCTATAAAACAAGTTATGAGGAAGCCCTATCTAAGAGTGGATATAAAAATAAATTGGAATATATTGACATAAATAGTTATAACAGTACTCAGAATAAACATAACAATAGGCTGAGAAATATTTTGTGGTTTAACCCTCCTTTTAATTTAGCGGTAAAAACAAAAATTGGCAAAATATTTTTGACTTATTAAAGCAACATTTCAAAAAAAAAACTGAGTTACATAAAATATTCAATAAAAATAATGTAAAACTTAGTTATTGTTGCATGCCTAATGTAGGGACCTTAATAAGTGGATTGAATAAGAAAAAAACTAGGGATAATCCACGCAGTAACCCTCCTACTTGTAATTGTAGAAACAAAAATATCTGCCCATTACAGGGAAAATGTCAGCAAGAATGCGTGGTTTACCAGGTAAAAATTTATAAGGATATGGAGGATACTAACCCTAAAATATACATAGGTGCTACTCAGGATAAATTTAAAAAAAGATACTATAACCACATGAGTAGTTTTAAAAACAAAAAAACTAAACATAGTACCACGTTATCCACCTATATATATGGAAAACCAAACAAGAAGATAATAAAGACCCCATCCTTAAATGGGAAATATTAAAGAAATGCCCCAAATATAAAGCAGGCCAAAAATTTTGTAAATTATGTACAGAGGAGAAATTAGCCATAGCTTTATATAATCAACCTAACCAGCTATTAAACTCCAAAACCGAAATTCTTAACATATGTAGGCATAAAAAATCTTGGTTACTAAGTTAAGACAAATTTCCCCGTTGATTTGTCATTCCAGCTTAATGTTTGTATTTTAATATCCCCTCCCCTTTTAGTTGAATAAATCTTTAACCCCCCACCCAGGTGGTTGTGTTTTTCTTTCTTTGGTTACATGGCATAATTTTGGCTATCGCCTATAAATATGCGTTTCCCTTTGCCTCTTGATTCCGTTTCCACTTTTGGTAAATTCTGTTTTTTCCCATTTTTATTTTTGGGAAATTTCATTTTTTCCATTTTAATAGTATTTTATGAGAAAATCACAATACAATATGCTATAATTATTATTAAAACTGAAAGCAAAAATATAATTCAAAGTTTTATTGCATATAAAGAAATAGCAAATATCTACAAATCTTTTTTTAAATGTTAAAATCCAAGTCCAAAAATAAATTATATGTAAAAATAAAAAAAATGTAACATGACTAGACAATAAAACAATGGAATGTTACAGTGCATATCTTTGAGGTAGAGCTTTTAATAAGGGTTTCCTTCTGTAAGACGACATTCAAAACATATTCAAATTGTTTTTTTTGTTTAAGTAAAAGTATTCAGATTGATTTATAATTATTGATTCATAAAATAAAAATCACATTTAAAGTATCAACAGCAATTAACTTGAATCTCAATAATAAATATCTGAATAAAGTCAAACATTTTGACTAGAATTTTACAAAACAGTAATTAAACCATAATAACTGAATCTTTGTAACAAAATATCAAAAAACAAATTAGACATATTAATTCAAAATTTAAATAAAACAACTTATCCTAAGTTGAAATGCTGCTCAAATTTAAAATTGCTAATTTCTTAATTTGGGAAATATCTAATCTTCAAATCTCTTCTCTAAATCTCCATTGTAATACAACATTGTGAGTTGTTCTCGGGGGTAAGACTTTCATGTTGTTTATTGAGTAAATATTTATACTGAGAAAATGAACATTCAGCATCTATGCTGGTAACAGGCATCCACATGACCTTTTTGGCAATCCGTTCCAGAAGAGGAAATCTGCTCTTATTTGCATACCAAAATGATGGGATATTAAAAAGATTTGGTAAATCATCTTGGTAATTCACGTACATTTGGAATTCTTCAAGAAGATCAGTAGGAAGACATTGCATTGATGGCAGCAAAACTATCTAAATCATGGCCTATACATGGTAGCTGTCTAGGACCAAACAGGCCTTGTAAAAGTTATACACAGGGTGGGTATCCAGGTATTTATTCTGTTTCAAAAAAGATGTGCTGAAAAAATCTTGGAAATTTGAGATAACTCTCTCCCCATCTGTGTTTTCTAGTTCAGACAGCAGAGGATCAGTTTCTAGGCCAAATATTGATTTTGATGTACCAGTATGCAAATACTGTTTTACATCCCCCATCATGTTATATAAAACATATGCAAGTGGAGACTTAGTTTCTTCTAAGTTTGTCAAAGCTGTTATTAAATGAGTGCAGTTCTCATTCATAAAATGCTGATTTAGGCACAAATTATGCTCTTAGACCTTCTGAGAAAACTTCTGGAAAACTCTTATTTCAGTTCATTTTTCAATTTTTCAGTTGCTGTATTAGTTGTAACAACATTTATCTTGTTGCAAAAAGAGTTAATTGGAAGGTCCCAAAGATCAAACAATGCAATCCAGTCTGTTCCAAACAAATTAGCAGTATTCTTTAATACAAACACCACTGCTTTTTTGGTTTTTCCAACAAAAGAAACTTTATAGCTGAATTAACCCAAAAAGTTCAACCTTATACCTGAGACTCAATACGCAACTTTATCAGAAGTCAATAGACTGGGTTTACCCATTTTTCTCCATGTCTGTTCATTTATGATAGTGATATCAGACCATGTATCTCACTGCAATTTTATTTTTACATCATTAATTTGCACAAAAACAAATTTCCTCTTTTGAGATGTCTTGTTAATTTCCCTTTTAGGCTTCTTATCGTTATTTCATTTATCTATCATGTTCACATGTGTTCTATTTTTTCTCCAGTTTTTGTGTCTGCAGCATATACTTTTGTGTCCTAATCTCCCACATTCATAAAATTTTTTGTTCTTGAAGAAACAATCACTTTTAAAATGCTTACCACCACAACCATGACAAGTATTAGGTTATTTTTTTTTTGGGGGGGGGGTATCGTCAATTTTTTACTGTTCTGTTAGGAGTTGAAAAATGTTTGTAGTTTTTTCTCTTAGATGGTCAGACACAATGTACCTGTGAATTGTGCTTTTCAAATTCACAATACCTTGACATTCTTCCGCTATTTTCTGGAGAGTTAATTTGGAATCCATTTCTAATTTTAGCAGGTATCCTGGATCTTATTTCTGTGTCCTTATTAGATGTTAAACCCTGTACAAATATCAAGCATTTCAATAAATTAGGAGTTAATTCATTTAACTTTAACTTTTCACATTCTTGATTCATGACTCCTGTTTAAGTGACAAAATCTTCATCGTTGGACTTTACTAAGTTAAGACATTGCCATCGTGTATTAAATAATGAACTCCTATCACCAAAATTTTTGATGGTATTAGAACAGTTTCATCAAAATTTATCTCACCTGGCTTTTTTTGGCAAAATAAAATTCACATATTTTTCATGTTCTGCAGGGGAAAATTCCCTTAATAATAACCAAACTTTCTTTTCATCATTCCAATGCAAACAATCCCTTTTGAAGATCCCTTCATACCTTCTATAATAAGCTAGAAAAGATATCCCTTCATCTGGATTGTATATAAATTTGCTGATTGAATTAGCAACGGCATCTTGAGTGAATGAAATTGAAGTTTCTTCTTCCATATTTTTGGTAAACAACTCAAAAACTTCTGTTGTTGTAGTTGTAACTGTAATTGCTGTCCATGTTGTCATTTTTGTTGCTGCAATTGTTGTTATTGTTGTTGCTTCTGTAGCACCAATATTTCAACCATGACAGCTTTTAGCTCTTAAATTTTGCTGTACTCTGCTGAACAAATCCTCATTTAAGTTCAAGGAATCCTTGCAAATCCTTGTCGCCACTTTTGTAATGTCAACAAACACTCAGTTGGCACTTCTGTAATGTCAACGAATACTTGTTGTCACTTTCATAATGCTCATTGTAGTAGAGACTTTATAATCACAGATACAACTATAGTACATCGTTTGAATGATGCCGGTATCAGACGCCTTCGAATAGCACTCACACTAATAGTACTTGCTCGATAATACTCACTCGAATAGTAACCACCATATAGTGATCTGAATAGAGAAATAGTATAGTAAATAGAGTAGAGAATAGTGGCCCATATAGTAATAGAGTATAGAGTAGAAATGGTGATCCGTAAAATAATAGAGGATAGAGTAGAAACAGAGATTGTTAGTCCTCAGCTACTTCCTATATATATATGCGTTTACTCTATGGTCACATGGTTTACTTAATTCAGTAATGGGATCACCAGTGTTTGCTCACTGGAAATCTATGTCAGCAGCAACACTTTATTCCTATATAACAAAAAGACTATTTTTCTACATTGTATCCACCTTTGGTTATGCATTCTTGACAGTGATGGATAAGAGCCTTCACCAATAAAAATCCACATCAGTAGAAGTGAACCACTTTTTGCATCTCTGCTGAATTGCATTGCCCATCATTTAACCATGCTCACATCCCTTGTTTGGTCTCCATAAATCTTTCATATCTGATTCCATTAGGGGTTATTAGAAGAAATGTTCCATATTTGCTGCCATACCATCAACATTAATCCCAGCTTGAAGCAATTGGATATCTAGCTGCATTGATGAGCTGTGATACAGCGAAACAGGCCTATATATATATATATATATATATATATATGTGTGTGTGTGTGTGTGTGTGTGTGTGTGTGTGTGTGTGTATGTATGTATGTATGTATGTATATATGTATGTATATTTAGGCAGCATATTTTCATTCAAGCATGTTTGGTTAAATATTTATATTATATCTATTTATTTTAGTTTTAATCCTTTCAAGTCCACAAATTAATTTTTTGGTGGCTGTAGAAAACTGATTAAGAAAAATTCCAAAAACGTTGATGAGACAGCTTACATTTGAGCGTAGTTCAATCTCAGAATATTTAAAGGAACACTCATGTCCACATTCACAGTTTAGACAGACATTAGTAGAAAATACATTAGTACTTCATCAAAATAATAATAAGTGTGTAAAGAGTAAGTGTCATTGCCGACACTGTGGTTAGAAACTAGATCGCCAGTGAGTAATACGGGCGATTCCATTATTAAATAGATAACATGATCAGAAAGGAAGTGAATAAATACGAAGTATCATGTTGACTAACTGATCAATATTCCTCTTTTATACTCTACTACTATACGGATTACGATACTCTTCTCTATTGATCATTATACCATTTGGCAATTACTACTTGAACCAGTATACTAATGTGGATATTATTGGATGGTGTTACTACTAGTACCGGTGTCTACAAGTCTCAAATATAATGAGCATTTTTGAAAGTGATAACAAGCTTTTGTTTGACATAACAAAAGTGACAAGCAAAGCCATCCAGCATCACAAAAATAAGCAAAACCTTAAAATTCTGGAAGCCCTTTATATAAGTGAATTGTGGCCAAAAATAAAGTCAACTATGTGTATAGTAACAAAATTCTTAAATGTTTGTAGCAGCAAAGTTTTATATAAAATACTAAATTAAAATATTATAACTAAAAAACTAAAAAGTTAAGTCCAAACAAAAACATTTATTATCCATTAGGCTCTTTTATAATTAAATGACTTAATGAAGATATATAAAATGTATAAAATTGTATATTTTGAAGTAAAATTAACATTTATCAAAAATCTGAAAGAATAAACTCAAGTGTTTCTGCCTGTTGTATATGGATAAACTGTTGTTGCTGACACCGTAGTTTGAACACAGATCACCAGTGAGCAAACACAGATGATTCCATTATTAAATAAGTAGATCATGTCATCATAAAGAAAACATATAAATGGGAATTAGCGTGACGTCTAAGTGATCGCTATTCTCTATACTATCCACTATATCATTTTTCTATACTGATCATTATACAAATTACTATTCAGTGATTACATTATTATTTGAACAAGTATTATTAGTGCAAGTATTACTGGAAGATGTTACTACTACCAGTACCTGCGTTACAAAGTCTCATCTACAACAAGCATTTCAGAAGTGATAATGAGTATTCATTGACCTAACGAAAGTTACAGTGAATAAGCGTTGGACATCACAAAACTATTCTAGTTGACAAACAAAGAATGAGAATCTTATTCTATATGTAACAGGACTAGAGACGAAAATACTGGATTGCAGGCTGTAAAGAAAAATCTCCAAACTCTGATTCTTTCCCTGTCCTCAAATGCATGAAGATTATTTATAAATGTCTATGGATTCAACGAAGAGATAACTTTTCAGATTTTGCACGTCCCTCAACTTTGCTATCTTTACTGAAAGTAAACCCTGGCAAAGAGGCTGATCAGGATGGGAATTAAAGCTACTTGACTTTTAACCAGATAAAACCTGCTAGTCACAATACAATTCATAGCTTCTAGCACAATCATGTTGTCTTTTTTCTCCTTGGAAAAAGTGAACAATTTATATTTTGGGAGTGAAAGTTTCTTTTCATCTTTTATATTGCACTTCTTAATATGGAATTCTTAAAAATGTAATAATAATAAAATTAAAAATTATGTGAAAATTCTGAGAATTTAATGTATTTTTCAGGTTAGCAGAACTTCTGCCAAAGTGCTCAATAGATAACAGAACTCTTTTTAACTGGCTCTAAATTTAAATGTGATATTTCTAATGAAACTCTAGTATGGTAAGAATCTGAAATTTGAAAGTTAGAATTGGCATTCATCATGAGGAGTATAAATATTTAATCTGATAATAATTTCAATAAATTCAATGAACATCTGGCCCTGATGAGCATTTTGATGTGAAACTCTTAAATCAGTCTATCAATTAAGTCTCTTGAACTTTTCTTGATTTATTGAATATCAGAAAAATGCAGAATTTTGTCCTTTGGAAAGTTGATGTTTCATTTGTTTTCAATTGTCTCAAAACTCTAACATGAAAGATTTTCATTATTACACAGATTTTTATTACTAATTTTAAATTTTCACCATTTTTTATCACTCTCCATGAAAATATTTTTAATTTAATGGCTGATGAATGAATTGGCTGAAAAATACAAAGCAACAAAAATAATAAAATATTTTATCAAAACTAATGGTTAATAATTATCTACATGCAAATTTCACAATTACATCAATAAGTTTCATCTTCACTGATTGTCTTACTTCACTAGATAGTATATTTAGTAAATGATAATCAAATTTCTTTCCTCTGTATTTTGATTAATGAAATCTTTGAGGTGATTAGGTCTGTGGAAATTTCATGATGAGTTTTTCACAATTTAGAATGTGCATTAATTCAGATAATAAAAAAAATATTTAGTTTTAAATTTAAAATTCATATTACAGTTTATTAAAAAAAAAATAAACACCATTTTTAACTTTCAAGAGCTCTAAAAAAATCATTGCAAAAACAATTCTCAAATTTTGTTTCATCATTCCTTCTACTTTTATAATTTTGCTTTCCCCTGGCTGTGAATTAAAAAGTAAAACATTAAAGCAGAGTGCATAGTTAAATACTGGCTGTGATAGTCATATTCAAATTTTATAAAAATTTCTCTTTCAGTTTTATTGATATAGAATAAATATGAAGTTTTGACCATTGAAATCATTAATGGATCAATGGTAAATAAGGTAAGTCATATGATGAGAACTTTTTGGGGCTTTTTGTTTTACTGCAATATTTTCTTTTAGCTAATCCATTCTACAGCCAATGAACTAAATTTTAGAAATTCTAAATAAAGAAAAAGCTTTGAATAAAACTTCAACTCATATTCCATATGAAGAAAACTTGTTTTTCATAGAAAATGCTTTAAGCATTAGGCATTGAAAGCTGCTTTGTTTAAGGCAGGATTTTCATCTATAGTCTTTCTAATACCAACTCCTCTTTCTGAATCCATTTCATGCTCTACAACTGATGACTTAATAGTAGTTGTAATAATATACTAAAATTGTTTTGAAGATTTTCAGAAGTATTTTCACTAAGTGAAATATTTGAACTAGTTTTCGTTCATCTGGTTTTAGCTGATATATTACTTAGCTATAGAATACATGTATTCATACGTACCTACCTATAGTGAGTGTGCTCCTTCTCATACACTGTCAAAATATATTTATCCGATTTTCACATGTTACTTTACTTCTCAGTGATCCATTAAAAGATTCTAAATGAGATACTTGTACCTTTCTATAGAGCAAGTTAATTTCACAGGCAATTACCACTATAGTGAGTGATTTACATTGATGATTAATATTTCTTGATTCATGCCAAACTGAACTAAAATTAGTATATACTAAGTTTATTTACTTTTTAAGAATGAAATGGATGAACAAAAAAATAGAAATTATTTATGACTGATTTTTTTTTATTGACATCATTTTTAAAAAAATAAAATACAATTTTATAGATTCACCATTATTTGCAATGATTTGTTGAAACTTATCAGGTTATTGCAAATAATGGTGAATATATGATTGAATAAAATGTAATTGTACTTTATTTTTTGAAGAAAAAAATTGATAAACAAAAACGGAATTTATTTATGACTCAACCTAATACCTAATAATTTATTTGGTCATTATGGATAGAATGTTCTGAGAAACAAGAAATTTCCTTCTCATTTGAATTGATCTTTGTTTAAATTTTCTAAACAATAATTGGAAATTAAAGAACAAATATAAATATTAATTAAATATAATTTTTAAACCATTTTTACAACATTCAAATCATTAATAATGCAGTCAAAGATAAAATGGGAGGGAAAAATTAATTGCTAATCAAAGAAATTTGAATAAAATCAAATAATTTTGTTAATCTATTAATTACAGTGAAAGAAAATAAGAATATCTTATTCTATGTTGCATTGCAGACTTCTGGGTAAAAATATGCTCTAAAGTAGTTTTACAAAAAGAAAATTAATTATAAAAATATTTAAAATCAATGAAAAATGATAATCCACTCACAATTTGCTGATAAAAGTTGGATGATACGAGGGAGATCGTAAATCCCATCCTTTAAATCGACAATCATCTCCACCTGGAAAGTATTCAAGAGAAATAGACTTAATAAACTTCTTGCAGGAAAACCACACACATTCTGTCTTCTTATAATCAATAATTAGTCCTTTCTTCTCCCTTTGCTACAGTCTAGGATTTCTTGCAGTTTTCCTTCTGTGATATCAATACAATGTCATCCACATATCTTACATTGTTAAGATTATATCTGCTAATAATAAATCCTGGTAGGACTTGTAGATCTCTTAAAATCATTTCACTGATCAAACAGACAAACTTAATTTACTAGGCTAGGTTGCTAATCCTCATACATGGTAAGGTACTCTCTTTATTGAACTTAGTCTGGCACAAAGCTACAGCTTTGAGGCATCCAATAAAAACTGAATTACACATTAATAATGATCTGCTAAACAAGCTTGTTAACCATTACACCATAGCAACATATATTCAAGAGGAGAATACCAGACTTATAAAATGATATTTTATTTCCTTGCAAAAATGTTCAAAGATTCCATTAAATAATTAGAAAGTTTTGAAATCTTTCTTTTAAAATTAAAAGAATTTGTAGATTTAAATCACTTTGAATGTTCTTTTTATTCAACTTTTTTTAACTGTGAGCATTAAACAGCAAAAATCTAAATGTAATGAGTACTTTAAGTTAGAATTACATTTAAATGTAGGATTTGTGTCTGGCTTATATATTTCTGGTGGAATTATAAAAGAAATAAAAATTCTTTTTGACATTGTTGAAAACTACAAAAAAGTTCAAATGCATGTATCATCTACTATGTTCACACTCTGAAATAAAAAGGAAATACACTGTGGTAAGACTACCCGATTACCTATGTCACAACTCTTCAGTTACATTCAATAAAGGCACATTAAGCTGAACTTGACTCCAAGTTTTCATTAAAATTTATTAAACACAAATACCTTAAACCAGGATGTCTTGACTTAGATTCTGCAGACTCGCCTTCTACTGACACCTGGCTACATTGGAAATGATTATTTAAAGGATTCTTACTTGCAATGGAAAACAGTTCATCCACTCCTATTACTGATATGGATAGATTTAACTTGCTAATGCACCACATTTCCTTATCCATATATACCAATATTTCTCACTGCAAAACTTACCAGAGTGCCATGGACATTTTGGATGGAATTTTTATGAAGAGACAAAACATAATCTTTGCCCAGCATGTATTAGCAACTGCCCACTAATCCCCTGAAGAGCAGTATTTTCAGCACTTAAAAATCCTAAGTTGAAACTGCAACTTTCAAGTGATGAAAGCAGATCAGGCAAAGGATGAATTTATCAGAGACTCCTTTATAAATGGATTAGAATCAAACTATATCTGTCAAAGATTGCTGGAAAATAAACAACTAGATTTCCTTGCGGACGGCAGAAAAACAATCTTGTTCATACCTACAAACAAGTGTTGCAGAGGTTGCACTAAGTAATCACACTCTTAGTCCACCAGTTCAACTGACCCAAACAGAAAAAAAAGACAGTCCTCTACAACAGACTTCCTCATTTTGCCCCCACCCCACCTATCCGCCAGTTCAAAATCTTCTCTCTCTGGAAGACATTGCATACACTGCCCAGTCATTGAAACTAAATGCCACAAGTGCAGGAAGAAGGGACATTTCTCTAAGGTTTGTCAATGAAGCTTTTTTTCACCTGGTTTGAATACTCCTATTGCAACAAGTATTGTATCAGCTTCAAACCCTAAATATCTTTCAAAGGCTATATTAACAGTAAAAATAAATGGGGTAGAAATGAATGCTCTAGTCGACACAGGAAGCTCAAAGAGTTTTATAAGCACTGATATTGCAAAAAGAAACAGTTTTAAAATCTTACATTGTAATAATCAGGTGGCTATGGCTTTGCAGGTTAGAGAATATATTTTGGCTGGCTTTGAGGCACCTCGAGGTGGTGTAATGGTTAGCAAGCTTGGCTTGCAAGAACAATTACGACTGAGTAGTGGGTTCAATCCTCACTGGGTGCCCCCTAATTTCGGCCTTGTGCCACATCTAAGCTACGCTTGGAAAATCACTATATTTTGGCTGGCTTAGAGTTGAATCAAACTAGCTACACTAACACCAAATTTTTTGTGATGTCAAATCTGTGCTACGATGTCATACTGGGCCATGATTTCTTCAAATGGCATTCTAGTATTAATCTCCTTTTTGGGGTTATAAACCAGTGTTGAACATATGTGGCTTGGCTGTTATAAATGTACAATATTCCTCTCTTTACAAAAACTTAACCAAAAACTGTAAACCAGTGGCCACCAAATCTCAAAAATATTTTCTTGAAGACAAAATGTTTATTCAAGCAGAAATAACAAGAATATTAAGAGAAGGAATAATAGAAGAAATCTGATCCCATGAAGGGCACAAATATTAATAATGTCCTCTGATAATAATAGAAAAGGATAGTCATAGACTACTTTCAAACTATAAATAGGTACATCCTCCTGGATGCATACCCTATACCCCGTAGTGATAAAATGATAAACAAGATTGCCAAATACAGAATATTTAGCACATTAGACCTACACAGCTGTTTAAAAGCCTTGTTTTTGTCATATAGGAAAATCAAACATGGCATGTAAACAAAATATTCGGGGAAAAATCTCATTCATCAGTAACATTTTAAACACCTCATAGAATGTAAAGTTCTTAAAGCAAACCTATGCTAAACTGTTTTCCTGAATCCCTGATGACTTGGCTGTCCGAAAATGACAACATCAAGATGAAATAATGGAAACTGACCGGGAAAAACAATTATGCGCAACAAGTTTTCAATCAATCAGTAAACTTCTGAACCTTTTTGAGCGACATTATAGGATCCAGACAGCTATTGTTTGCACATGGAATTATTCACTGGTAATTAATCTTCGATTTGGCTGTGGAAAATGTCACTCGGTGGTTAGCATTAAGAAATTATGCCCAATTTTCTGAGAAAAATCACCTTTTTTTATGAAAAAATATTTATTTTCACTTCAAAATAATATCATTCAAACATCATCCCTTTCTCTTTCATTTGGCGTGAATAAAAGGAATGGCCTGGCGATGGGAAATACAAAAGATATGTGGCGAAAAAAGCAATGTTGTCTACTAAGTGTTGTTGTCATCACCTGGGTCACAGGGTGTTAAAAACAAAACAAACCACATCAAGCCATTGTTCAAACATAGGTTATATCAAGCCCTACTAATGTTGACCCTTTTTTTTCACTCTTTGCTCTTATCTGGGAGTGATGGGTTTTATTACTTGTTCTAAACATTTATTGCTGGCTTATCTTTGACCCAGAAATGTCAAAGTCAATTTGGTTTAATTTTCCTTATCGCTGCTATTATTTAGAAAAAAAAAAAAATTTTGGTTTCTGGTGGTCAGAAATTGGAGATAAATCTTTCACCTTTTACTAAAGATTTCCGTGGCCAGGTGTCAATTTTTTTTAGCCCCTGGCAGTCATATAATTGAAAATTACCAATGGACTTTGTCGCATTTTGACCCCCTAGGAATGTTGACTTCCTTCAGAACTCTCAATTTTATGCCTGAAATTGTTTGATTATGATTTAGGCTTTCTGATTTTCCAAAAAAAATGGTTAATTTCCCATTAATGGGGAAAATTTTTGTTTAGAACTAGAAAAACTGCAAAATTTTCACTATTTTTTCACATTTTATCCCCTGAAAAAAATTTTGAGTCATTTACACCAGCCAATTTTACTTTTAAATGAAAGAATATATCCTTTGCTTTCAGAAAATACCTAGTTTCATGGGGTTCAGATCAAAAGTTTCCTTGATATTTGTTTAGGTGATGATAAAACAATCATTTTTCAATATTTTACCCCTATAAAAGTATGAAAATCCATTTTTTTAGAGAAAATAAGCTGTGACAAAATGACTTTTGCCATTTTTGTGATGATTTTTACTTGGGATAGAAAATTTTTACCATAGGAAACCTGAATTGACTTTATTTAAGTTCAGTGGGGCTATAGGAAACCTCAAACAGCTGTGCCTAAGAATTGCTTACCACCAAGTAGCTATAGAACTTAAAGATAAGCCTTATATGGCTTTTGAAGTCTGCAGACAACAGTTCTGACAGATTCTGTTTGGGGTCACTAATGGGATTTCCCTTTTTCCAGAGGGTCTTCGATAAAATAATTCTTGAAGAAAAACTACAAGGCACCTTTGCCTACATAGATAATGTGACAGTGTGCAACCATGACTGGGCTGACTACAATTGCAACCTAAAATAGTTCTTGATGGCTGTCAAAAAATATAATCAGACTACTTGGATATATTGTGGGTAAAGGAATCAAGCCAGACCCTGAACAGCTAAAACCACTGCTAAAACTACCTATTCCCATCACCATAGACACCTTGCGACAAACCACAGGTATGTTCACTCATTATTCTCAATGAATACCCTCCTTTACATTCTTCTGCTGTTAAAGCCTTTGAGGGGCTAATAGGTGATATTGCCAACTCAGCCATCACTTTGACAAATCCTGACCTTCCCCTAGAAGTAGAGACCAATGCTTCCAACCCCACCGTAGCTGCCATGTTAAGGCAATCCAGGTTCCCTGTAGTGTTCTTCTCCAGAACATTGTCAAAATGTGAGTGCAAACATTCAACTGTCAAAAAGGTGGCTTATGTCATAGTTGAGGCACTAAAACAATGGCAACATTTCTTAATTGGTCACTGCTTTAAATTAATCACTGACCAAAAATTAGTCTCTTTTATGTTTAATCCCAAGATGTCAAGCAAAATAAAAAATGCAAAGATAGTGAGATGTGGGGGGTAGAGCTTTCCTGTTTTTCATTTGACGTGTTCTATCTTTTGGGAAAGGAAAATGCAATGGCAGACACACTGTCAAGGGTGTGTGGATCAATAAACAGCACCAAAGATCTACAAAAAGTTCATAACGATCTCTGTCATCCAGGCATCACAAGGATGATGCATGGGGTTCAAAGCCAGAATTTGCCTTTTTCAATTGAGGACATGAAATG